ATAATTAGGCTTCTAACATATTGTAGTGTTGTAGGGTATCACATGGACGGCCCAGCGCGACTATAGCCTCTGCTTATTTGTTTTTACTGAATTTAATCCTCAAGAACAGGGAAATTTTTGAAATTTGAAAATTGTCCTCAAGAATAGGGAATAACGATTGAAGCAATTAATGAAATTCAGGTCGAAAATGCAATGTAGTATGATTGGTACGTCAGAGGGTTGACTCATCGCACAAGACAGCCGACAATAAGCTATTGAGGCAACAGGTTATTTATATTCAAAGAAAAGGAAATTGGGGAAGTTAGAAATATCAGGAATACTTCTATAAACTTTATTTTTAAATTTTGATACGTCGGGTAAAGAATCGTGACATTGCTTAATAAAGTCGAATTATAAAGGACAGCGACAACAGAATTCCATTGTGGCTCTGAAATACCTTAATATTATGACATAATATGTAAGGTGGCAATGTAAATTTGCTTTCTTCTTTTATAATAGGGTATAACCCATGGTAAAAGAGTACAGATGGAAGCATCGACACAGCTGCTGGCACTGTCAAACCATTTTTGGGAAATTTGAAGAAGTAAATGTTTATAAGTGCGGTTGTAAGATTTAGAAGATTTTCCAAAAGAATTTTAATTTTATATAATTCTTTGGTTCCTCTTCTATTGAGCTTACGATCTCGTCACTTGGGTAAAAAATGTTTTTTTGTCATAGAAGTTATTTTTAAAATAACTTCTGGGGAGAATATCCCAGGCAAAAGACAAGGAAACTGATGAGGATTGATGGCTCTTTCCGAAATCTAGGTATTCCCTGCCTTACCCCCTGGTAAACATTACCATCGTTCTCCACTAATTAACAAATGTTGTTTTATAAAAACAACAATAATGGGATTAAGCCTGACGATTTTTGCAACAACAATTGAAAATTCTGAATGGAAAAATTATTCAAATTTGTAAAAATTGTTGAAAAATGCATATTATAATAATCTCTGGACTTCGTATTGGAAAACATATAAAAAATCGACTTATTTTGGAAAAACAAGCAAATAAGCTGTAAGGGCCGAATTTTTAATACCCTCCACCATTTGGAACGAATTTAGTAATTTTCAAAAAAATAAAATCCGTTAAAAATGCTGTTAAAATCTTAAAAATACCGAGTATAGTAATTCGCCGGTATATTGGAGTCTATACGGAGACGTGGACTTGCATAGGCAATTTTTGTCATAGGCCATAAAAATATTGAAATACGTAACTAGAAAAAAACAAGTAAAAAAGCGGCCGGGCCGAACTTTGAATACCCTTCACCATTTGCAACGAATTTGGCAATTCTCAAAAACAAAAAAATCCATTAAAAATGATGTTAAAATCTTAAAAATACCGAATTTAACTAATATATTAGGGTCTATAAGACGACATGGACCTGCATAGGTAACATTTGTCATAAGCCATTACAATATTCAAATGCAAAACTTAAAAAAAATCGGTTATAATGTCGATAAAATCAAAATACCGAATATCGGGAGGTACTGTTATATGGGGGGCTATACGAAGATGTGAACCTCTACAGACAATTTTCTGTCGTAGGCTGTAACATCCATTACGAACTTCAAATATCAAATTTGAAACAATTCTGGTGAAAAATGTCCCTAAAATCATTAAAATACCGAATATCGGGAGGTACCGTTATATGGGGGCTATACCAAAACGTGGACCTACATGGCCCATTTTTAATGCCAAAAGTCCTATATGATATCGTGAACCTATATAGACAATTCTCTTCCAGGGGGTTAAGTGCTTAGAAAAAACTTTTCAGACAATTCCATCGAAAAATATAGCTAAAATCGTCAAAATACCGAATATTGGGAGGTACCGTTATATGGGGGATATTTGATATGGAGGACCTAGAAAATTGTCTGTGCGGGTCCACGTCTTCATATATCCCCCCATATAACTATACTATAAATCATCAGAAAATCGTCTGTGCAGGTCCACGTCTGCGTATATACCCCAAATAACGGTACCCCCGATATTCGGTATTTTGATGATTTTAGCGACATTATTCACCGAAGCTGTTTCAAATTTCATATTTAGAGTTCGTAATGGGAACCACAGTCTATGCCAGAAAATTTTCTATGCAGGTCAAGGTCTTCGTATAAGCCCCATATATCAGTTCATCCTTATATTCGGTACCTTGGCGATCTTAGGTATAATAATCACCGAAATTGTTTGAAATTTCGTATTTGAAGTTCCTAATAGGCATCACAGCCTGTGGCAAAAAATTGTCTATGCAGATCCTGGTCTTCGTATAGCCCCCATATAACAGTACCCCCCGATATTCGGTATTTTGATAATTTTAGCGGCATTATTTACCGGAATTGTTTCAAATTTCGTATTGGAACTTCGTAATGGATACTACAGCCTACGCCAGAAAATTGTCTGTGCAGGTCCACGTTTTATAACCCCCATGGTACCGCCTCCCGATATACGGTATTTTGATGATTTTGGCTTCATTATTCACCAATTTTTTTATTCAGGTTTCGCATTTGAATATTGTTATGGCCTATGACAAATCTTACCACGTCATCGTAAAGACCCTAATATAACGGCTACATTCGGTATTTGTAAGATTTTAACAAAATTTTTAATGGATTTTATTTTTTTGAAAATTGCCAAATTTGTACAAAATGGTGGAGTGTATTCAAAATTCGGCCCGGTCGAACTGACAGCTTTTTTACTATTTTTTTTTTTTTTTGGTTTTTGTCAAAGACTTCTATGAAAAAAACTGGCCACAAATCAAGATAAGACATCCTCGAAGATTAAGTTGGCGGCCAAAGGAGGTGAGTCTTTCAAGACAGGCTGGCCAAGGCAATAAATTTTTAAGTCACCTAATTGATTTCCGAACATTTGCTTTTAATTCAAATAAACTTTGTTCTATCTCTCTATCTTCAGCAAAAATAAACTCACTTTTCCGTGGGACAAACTTTGGCTTTGTAACCAGGGTGTAATATGCCACATATCTGCGGATGCATTTTTATACCCTACACCACAAAGTGATCAGGGTATTATGTATTTGTGCATTTGTTTGTAACAGGCAAAAGGAAACGAGATAGACCCATAGTTCCTTTTGATGATCTGCATAGAATCACTTTCTGAGTTGATTTATGCATGTCAGTCCGTCGGTCCGTCCGTCTGTCCATGTATTTTTATGAACAAAATGCAGGTCGCATTTATTGCCCTATTCAGATGAAATTTTCCAAACAACATTGGTTTGGCCCAAGGACGAACCCTATTGAAATTGGAGGTAATCGGTAAAAATTTAGATATAGCTTCCATATATATCTTCGTCCGATTTGCCTTTTATTGTGCACCAAACGTGTAATATCAGCCCGAAAAGTATGGAATTTGGCACATACAACCATATTAGGTCTGGAAATAAGTATGCCAAATTTGATCGAAATCGGTTCAGATATAGCTATAGCTCCCATATATATTGTTCATCCGATTTTTTTTGTCCTCCGCAGCCGTTATATGCACTCTGTAACAACAATATTTGGGGAAATATATCAAATGCAGCTCAGAAATACCTTTACTAAATTTTATCCATATCGGTTCAGATTTGGATATAGCTCCCATATATAACTTCGTCCGATTTACTTTTATTGTGCACCAAATGCTTAATATTTCCCCAAATGGGATGGATTTTGGCACATATGACCGAATTGAGTCTAGAAGGTAGTATGCCAAATTTGGTGAAGATCGGTTCAGATATAGCTATAGCTCCCATATATATTGTTCATCCGATTTGTTGTATTAGTTACCCACAGCCGTAATATGCACTCCATAACAACGATATTCAGGGAAATATTTCAAATACAGCTCAGCAATATCTTTGTCAAATTTTATCAAGATCGGTTCAGATTTGGATATAGCTCCCTCTCTACGAGACCTAAAAATAGCCTTTTGACTGTTAAGTTCTCCTGCGTTTACAAGACATTCTGTAACTAGAAGACTTAAAAAGTACCCATATGAGGTCTTCTGCTTGCAGAATGACTCTGGGAGGCTTGTAAGAAGTCTCTTGCATATTGAAGACCTAGAGAAGGTCTCTCACCTCTACGAGACCTAAAAATAGCCTTTTGACTGTATAAAACCCATTTAAGGTCTTCCGTCTATAGAAGGCCTAAAAAAGATCTGTGGTCTTGAGAAAAGTGGTAAAATAGTTTCTAGGAGACCAGTAAAAGGTCTCTTGCATATTGAAGACCTAAATAAGGTATCCTACCTCAACGTGACCCGTAAATGGTCTTCTGCCTGTAGAAGACCCACTTAAGGTCTTCCGTCTACAGGAAGATATAGCTCCCATATATATCTTTATCCGATTTCAAATTAATTGTGCACCAAATGGGCAATACAAGTCCGAATTTAAAAGATACAAATGCTTCGGCATATTTAGTCCTTTCAACTTTAAATTATAATTATAATCATAGGGTGTATGATTGAATTCTCCCATAAAAACTTTTAATTGTTATGTGGAGCCCTACTAAATTAGCAAAGTGGTGTAGGGTATCGTAATGTCGGCTTAGGACTTTCTTTACTGGTTACAAATGAGCTGTCAACTTAAATTGTCACTTTGAATATTTTTGTTCTAATTTCCAAATTAATAGCTCTATTAGCACAATTTCAAAATAAACCTAATGACACAGATAATTTCTGCGAAAAGAAAACACTCTCAGGGAGGTCAAAAGCATTTAGCGTAATTAATAACTACCAAACAATTTGTTTATATTTTTGACTTGATTTACCGGGGAAACAATTGACGCAATTGACTTTCGAAACGGATGATGATTGACTTGTTGCTCCAACCACAAACAGTCGTCAGCATTGTGCAATCTCAATCTGCCAAAAAAAAAAAAAAAATGTTGAATGGAAATGTACTTAGAGGGTCTAATTCCTGGCACAAAAAAAAAAACTGAATGAATGAATAAACATTTATTTATTTTGCAGTTAACAAAATTTTGGGGTATTGACACAGCGCAGATGGATGTGGACCCACTTAATATATAAGCCAGCTGGGATGGTAAAACCAATTAGTCTTCCACCAAAATTCATTACGAAAAGGTATTTTTAGAGTTCAACAAAAAGTTTGAGTTGTTAAACTAAATTCCCCTCTCTTTTGCAGAAAACAAAATGAAAATCGCAATTATTTCCTTGGCCCTCATTGCCGGCTGTTTGGCCATGCCCCAGGATAAATATACCACCAAATATGACAGCATTGATTTGGATGAAATCTTGAAATCGGATCGCCTCTTCAACAACTATTTCAATTGTCTGATGGATCAGGGTAATTGCACTCCTGAGGCTCGTGAGCTAAAGAAAATCCTACCCGATGCTCTGCAAACCGAATGCAGCAAATGCAGTGAGAAACAGAAGCAGGGCGCCGAAAAAGTTGCTCGCTATGTCATCGAGAATAAACGTGATGCATGGAATGCCCTACAGGCTAAATATGATCCAGAGGGTGTTTACTACAACAAATACAAGGCAGAGGCTGAGAAGCGTGGCATTAAGGTTTAGGCCACAGGGATCTCAGATTTGACGTGTAACTATTCATAAATATTCCCAAAGTATGTTGAAAATAAAATTAAAAAAAAAAAAAAAAACAGAAAAAACAATTGTTTTTATTTTATTTACGGAAAAATAAAGTTATTTTAACAAAATTTCGATAGGTTGTTATTTAAAGTTTCCGAAAGCTTAAGACAGAATTATAGCTCCATCCAAGTAAAAAAGCTGTAAGTTCGACCAGGCCGAGTTTTGAATACCCTCCACCAATTGGTACAAATTTGGCAATTTTCAAAAAAAAATAAAATCCGTTAAAAATTATCTTATAATCTTAAAAATATCAAATGTAGCCGTATATTAGGGTCTATACGAAGACGAGGCAACTTTTGCCATAAGTCATTACAATATTAAAATGCGAAATTTAAAAAAAAACGGTTTATAATGTAGCAAAAATCATCAAAATACCGAATATCGGGAGGTACCATGGGAGTTATAAAACATGGACCTGCACAGAAAATTTTCTGATACAGGCTGTAGTATCCATTACGAACTTCAAATCCAGAATGTGAAATAATTCCGGTAAATAATGTCGCTAAAATCATCAAAATGCCCAATATCGGGAGGTACCGTTATGTGGGGACCATACGAAGACGTGGACCTACATGGCTCATTTTCTGTCTTGGGATGTAGTATCCATTACGAACTTTAAATACAAAATTTGAAACAATTCCGCTAAATAATGTCGCTAAAATCATCAAAATACCGCATATCGGGAGGTACCGTTATATGTGGGCTATACGAAGACGTGGATCTACATGACCCTAAAGGGAAACACTTACAATTCTGGAATTTGATATTTAGATTAATGATGGTATTTGTGTTTGAAAGCTGACAATGGTTTGGAAATCCGTCCTTAATTTGTACAAAAAGTACTAAATGGTACTAAATTTTATATTGGGTGAAGGGGTAGAGCTGGAATCCTCAAATTTGATATTGAGGCCTCTGTCTGGACTGTGATTTGGAGGTTGATTTGGAAATTCGTACTATAATTGTTCGAAAAGTACTAAGTGGTACTAAATTGGATATTGGGTGAAAGGAGAGAGCTGAAATGCCGAAATTTAATTTTGACGCCTTAGTTGGTAGTTGGGATTGAGATTTGAAGATGGATGTGCAGATGCGTCCTAAATTTAGTATAGGGTGAAGGAATCGGGCTGGAATTCTGAAATTTGATATTGTGGTCTCTTGGTTGGTATCTGGAATTGGGATATGGAGGCGGTTTTGGAAATGTATACTATAATCGTACGAAAATTACTAAATATTACTAAATGTGGTATTGATTGAAGGAATAGAGCTGAAATATTGAAATTTACTTGGTGTGTGTGGTTCAGATATAGAAGTGGTGAAGATTGTTTTGGATATGCGAACTAAATGTTACTAAATTTGGTATTGATTGAAGAGATAGAACTAAAATTTTCAAATTTGATTTTAAGGTCACTGTTGGTTTCTAGGGTGTACATATGGAGACGTAGAAATAATTTTGGTGTCCAAAATTAGATGTGGATTTTGATGGCTTTTTATACGATGCCACTTGGAAGAAATTGGCAAATTTAAAAAAATAATAATTAAAATACCGAATATATGCAGGGAGGGGCTATACAAAAGCCTAGACTTGCATATGCAATTATCGCTCATAGCATGTTCCTTTAGGAACATTAATTAGCGAATTTGAAAGATTTTCGGTGAAAAGTGTGTCAAAAAATCATCAAATCATCATCGGAATGACAAACTTAATATACCCTCCATATCATGGTGTAGGATATAAAAATGCCTAAAACAAATGAATCTAAGGTTTTCCTTCATAGAAATGCATTATCTTTTTTTTTTTTTTTTTGGCGCCCAACTATTCAAATCTAAATCGACATATTCAATATACCTGTAGCATTTGAAATCTAGATAGAAACATATGGAGGAAGTAGATCGGTAATAAACTTACGAAGCCTATTCAAGGAATCTCTCTATACTATACTCCTAATATAATTTGATTTGAAATAAAAAACATTTATGTCATGGCACAAAAAAGTAAAACACCCAGCAACACCACCTCCCATTTAAAATTTTTTTTCCTATGGGCAGATAAGATTTTCTAATGGCTTATTGGATGCCGTTGAAACGGAATGCCAATAGGTTGCTTAAGACGTTTTCAGGTACAAAGATGTAGCTATGCAGGGTGAGATAAAAAACTGAAACAAAGTCCAATACCATAATTTTTATATATATATTTTTTAATTTTATTGAATGAAAGCAGGAAATGTCGGAAATAGCATGAAACTGTAGAATAAGTTTAGATTTGTTCGAATTGGTCACCTTTGGCACGAATTATGGCCTTGAAATGGCCAATGAAACCGTCACAAGCTGTCCGAATGTTGCTCTGCGGTATTTTGGGCCATTGCCGGCGAAGCGTTTGGTATTCTTTTCGTACCAACCTTGCTTTCCAAAACGCTCCAGACACAATAGTCCAACGGATTGGTATCCGGAGATTTTGGTGGCCATTGTGCGCTGGAAATGAAGCAAGGAATCTCATTTTGTTACCATTCTTGGGTGGCACGTGCTGAGTGCGATGGTACTGAGTCCTGTTGTAATGTCCAAGGTCTACGACCAAAATGTTTACGTGCCCAAGGCTTTTATACACCCTCCAGAATATAATATTATATTCGGCATTTATTCTGATGCCACGGTGGATTAATACGAGCGAAGAGCGACCAACGGCTGTTATGGCGGCCCACACTATCACCATGGGGGGCACTTGAGTTCTGGTGGCCAACCGAAGGTACACATTTTCAGCTGACCTCTTTGGCAAGTAAACACGGTCATTTTGTTTGTTCACAGGCTGCTGGACAACGAATGTTTTCTCATCGGAGAAAACAAAATTCGGCAATTCACCACTTTCAGCCAAGCGAAGCAACTCTTTAGCTCTTTTGAGTCTATTTTCTTTCTGTTTCTGTTGCGTCGTAAGTTCTCATTTTCATACCCTACACCACATAGTGGTCAGGGTATTATGTCTTTGTGCATTTGTTTGTAACAGTCAAAAGGAAACGAGATAGACCCATAGTTACTTTTGAGGATCTCCATAGAATCACATTCTGAGTTGATTTATGCATGTCAATCCGTCTGTCCGTCCGTCCGTCTGTCCATGTATTCTTGTGAACAAAATGCAGGTCGCATTTATTATCCGATTGAGATGAAATTTTCCAAACAACATTTGTTTGGCCCAAGGACGAACCCTATTGAAATTGAAGATAATCGGTAAAAATTTAGATATAGCTCCCATATATATCTTCGTCCGATTTGCCTTTTATTATGCACCAAACGTGTAATATCAGCCCGAATAGTATGGAATTTTGCACATACAACCAAATTAGGCCTGAAAATAAGTATGCCAAATTTGATCGAAATCGGTTCAGATATAACTATAGCTCCCATATATATTGTTCATCCGATTTGTTATTTTTGTCCTCCGCAGCCGTAATATGCACTCTGTAACAACAAAATTTGGGGAAATATATCAAATACAGCTCAGAAATACCTTTGCTAAATTTTATCGACATCGGTTCAGATTTGCATATAGCTCCCATATATAACTTCGTCCGATTTACCTTTGATTGTGCACCAAACGTCTAATATTTGCCCAAATGGGATGAAATTTGGCACTTACGATCGAATTGAGTCTAGAAGCTAGTATGTCAAATTTGGTGAAGATCGGTACAGATATAGCTATAGCTCCCATATATACTGTTCATCCGATTTATTATTTTTGTCCTCCGCAGCCGTAATATCCACTCTGTAACAACGATATTTGGGGAAATATATCAAATGCAGGTCAGAAATACATTTGCTAAATTTTATCGAGATCGGTTCAGATTTGGATATAGCTCCCTCTCTACGAGACCTAAAAATAGCCTTTTGACTGTTAAGTTCTCCTGCGTTTACAAGACATTCTGTAACTAGAAGACCTAAAAAGTACCCATATGAGGTCTTCTGTTTGCAGAATGACTCTGGGAGGCTTGTAAGAAGTCTCTTACATATTGAAGACCTAGAGAAGGTCTCTCACCTCTACGAGACCTAAAAATAGCATTGTGACTGTATAAAACCCATTTAAGGTCTTCCGTCTATAGAAGGCCTAAAAAAGATCTGTGGTCTTGAGAAAAGTGGTAAAATAGTTTCTAGGAGACCAGTAAAAGGTCTCTTGCATATTGAAGACCTAAAGAAGGTATCCTACCTCAACGAGACCCGTAAATGGTCTTCTGTCTGTAGAAGACCCACTTAAGGTCTTCCGTCTACAGGAAGGTATAGCTCCCATATATATCTTTATCCGATTTCAAATTAATTGTGCACCAAATGGGCAATACAAGTCCGAATTTAAAAGATACAAATGCTTCGGCATATTTAGTCCTTTGAACTTTAAATTATATTTATAATCGTAGCGTGTATGATTGAATTCTCCCATAAAAACTTTTAATTGTTATGCGGAGCTTTACTAAATTGGGTATCATAAAGTCGGCCCCGCCCGACTTTAGGACTTTCTTTATTGGTTCAATTTCAATTTGCCGAATGGAATATTGCGACATGTTCAGCTCACGAGCCATTTTTCGGCCACTGCGACGCGGTTTTCAATCAAGTCGCTTATTTACTTTTCGAACCATTTTTGCTGATGTTGCTGTTTTCTTTTGTCTTCCGTCCACTTCCTTGACGTGCTCTAACGATAGCCACTTGTGGTTTTACAGCCAAATATAAAGAAATCACACTATCACGCTTGAATTCTACCTCTAATAACTTTTTTTCAGGAAAATTCTGACCCAAATGCTTTTGCAGTTTTTTCATCTCACCCTGTAGTTCCTTTCGGCTTTAAAAAATATCTGCTACAAAGCCATAATACGCACTCAAAAACGATCATAAATTCCCCTTAATGAGGTTTTTTCTTATGGGTAGCTCTACTTGATCTACTAATTAATGTAGAATATCAAAACCCGCCCTACTTTGAGCCTTTTCTTACTGCTTATTTTATCTGGCGAAGCCATAACTAACAC